CAAACAGCATGTGCGCCGAAGCGTTGGAACCCCCACCCATCCCCCACGCATGAGCACACACGGCTGGGCGGCATAAATACGACTGGGAATCCAGCGGTTGAATCATTCTTAGTCGGAAACACAAAATATCCCCCAAATATATAAATAATATAGGGGGTATGTTCTGTGGTCGGAAACCATTCACCAACATGCTCGGCGAGCTTGACCTTTTAAGTGCTAGAACCTCGCAGAAAATGAAATGTCGAACCTTGGAGTCCGCTACTCCAAAACTCACACTGAATCTGAAGGGAGAAACAGTTCGAAAAAGGGACCACGAGAGAAAAGACTCGTCTTTATCTATGGAAAAGACCCTTAAAACTCATTTAACCTTTACATATTCTACTAATAACATAAGAATATAAAGAACTATTTATGCATGAATCCAGATCAAAGATATATGTGGGTAACATTATTTCGAGTAAGGATTAGTACATATTTCTATAAAATTTTAAATGCCGTCCTGCCTGCTGTTCGCAGAAAACAACGGAGCCGAATTTAAATACACAAAATTTCACTCAAATCCAAGCAATTTGTCATCATACATCAAATGCTGCTCACCTTTAAAAAAATATCAGATAACAACGGCAGCAAGTATCCGAAAAATAACGCTTTTTTTATTTTTTTTGTACTATATTTTGCGAATATATCAGCTTTTCGTTGAAAATGTGTTATTTACTATTTTCTCTTTGCTCGCCGAAATACTCTTTTTTTAAATGCTTTCTGACTTATTTTTGTTTTTTATTTACTTGTTAATTTTTTAAACATTTCTTTAATATCATGTCATTTAGGTGCTTATTTTGCAAATGTGAAAACTTTCTCAGGTAAATCATGTAACTTTTCGTACAAAATGTTTCTATTTACTAATAACGGTTTATCTTATAGTTTTCAACCATTCAGGTTTCATAGGGCTTATTCAAGAATTTATTGCTTCTTGCACTAATATTCTCCTTAGTTTTTAGTTTTTATCTTCTGAGTGCTTTTTAACGTTGTCTCGGATTTTGGGCGATTTTTATGAACTTTTTAATATCTGTAGAATCCTTTGCTTGCCCACCATTAACGAAGTGAAGAGGTGAAGAGCTGAAAAGTAACCACAGATGGCAGAGTAACCTCTGTCATCTGTGAAAGTAACCTAGTTTAAATTGGAGGTTATGGATACTTTTTGAAGTTTTCCCAAATTATCGATCATTGTCAAAACTAAATAGTTTGGAAATGAAAACATAAAACTTTCAAATAGAGATAAATATGTTAAACTCGTATCGTCTAGAAACATAGTTTGCAGTCGTTGGTAAGCTATGTCATGCTTGATTAAACCTGTAAGATCAAACAGCAGGCTTTTAATGATGAACAAAGTAAAGCTGTACATGATACAAACACCAATACCTACTCTAATTCCTAGTAATTGGGAAATTTACCTAATTTATCACCCCGATAGATACGAACAGGACTTGGGAGGTTCTAAAGAATCTAGCTAATATTCCAAAGAAAATAAATATCTTCTGTTACTAATGGTATATTTAAATATTATGTGATATATGTAACATAGAGCAAACTCTATTAGTATGCAATCCTGGGCTTAATATCAACTCATTTAGGCAAGACACCTTGACAACAACAAAATGAGAACGCTAAGGAAATAAACTAAGCCTAGCATACTATGAAATGGAAATTTCGTAACACCTTCATTATGAATAAAGAAAACCACTTCAACTTTATTTGTGCAGTACTTTAACACATGTAATATGCGCTTGCATATCAATTTCAGATTGCTATTTGAATTACGTAATGCAATACTGGCTAAATCGTCGCAGAATTTAAAATCTATTAAAAAACGACATTTCACAACATGCTCTGGAGAGACACGAAGCCTTCAAGAATATTGGATTTTTGTTTTTCATTCAAACCAATGTTTAGTAACTCAACTTTAATACAAAATATGCAATTTCGCTGTCGACATATTTTTGTTCGATTAAAATTAAGCCGATTTAGTATTATTGCAGCGTGAGGTCGTGAGGAGATGCACATCTAAAGCTAATTTTCTTTAAATTATTTGACCTATTTATACATTTTCCTGATATTTGTATTTTAGGCCAATTAGAATCAACATTCTGATTGTTTTCCGACTAAATAGGAATCCAGATTGGGAAAAAATCCACCATAAATAAATTACTTTTGCAACTGAAAACATGCTTTTGTTTTGTCCTCTTTGTTGCACATTCAATCTCTTTTAGGAGGTGTAAGATTTTATAATTCTAATTGTTTAGAAGTATATTTGTCCATTCATTATTGTTACGCTGTAAAAGATCAACACCATCAGAAAATAATTAATTCTTATACTCAGTAATACTAAATTAACCGGTTTCTGTTGACTGTTATTTTCTCATGTCTTCTTTAAAAGTTTGATATTTTTATGAACTTCGTCGATGGGCATTATTGAGAAATCAAATGATCTGGAAATAGTGTCCGCCAATGAGTGGGTCTGAGCAATCCAACCCACTTTATCTCCTTTAAAACTAAATATTCTCAACAAATCAAGTGCAGATCTACTGTAGATATTTCTTTAACAAAATTATTAGTTGATTATTTTTTACATTTTGACCAGCATAGAAGAAAACCAAAAAAAAAGTACCTGCACACAATCAACTTAAAATCGCTTCTATGGTATGAAGTTTCGCAAATATTTTAATAATTCAAGCCAAAAGCAACCTGTGAAATGGCAGTTCAAT